CATCTCTGTTAAAGCTGATAAAAATTCCCAGTTTTACAAAGGCTGTTGATTTTGATTAATCACACCGTCAGAAATGGAATCACATGAATATAATGACATACTACTGTATCTGACAGAAAATTCGCCTAACTCATAAGCGTTACATTTTGCCACATTTCGGGGTTCGTCGGCAGACAAAGAATTTGGAAAGTTCAAATTCTTAGCAAGTACGGCAAAAGTAAAAGGTACATCTAATAAAACATGATAGCGACAAAGCATAAGAAAAAGGAGATACGTACCATTTTTGATGTAATTAGCCAAGTTTATGAAACGCAACCGACAACCCGACAGTAAATGACTCACGGTGGCGTCGCGAAGGGCCCAACGGTATTATTCTAGTCGAAATTCAAAATATTTACCTGTGAATCTTTTGTCCCTTATACAGTGTTATTTTTACTGTATCGCAATCATGTAAAAAGTAATTTCACACGTACTTTTGCCGAAAACTAGTAGAACTGGAGAAAGTTGGTTTACTGTCAGATAAACCAGCTTATTTCGAAGTATACACCGGGATGTTTTATGTAGAAGTTGCGTGAAAAAAATTATTTGCATGAATTCGAATCAGAAATAATTCAGACAAAGGAAAAGCTTTTGAAAGCAATGGGTATTTTTCAAAAGAAGCCAAATTTAAATTTTCGTACCGATTTAATGTCAAAACATAGATATTTATTATGTTCAAAGTATTTAAAATTTACCGAAATAAATAAACTAGCCCAATGTTTTGGGATAACCTCCAGGAGTGGGAGCTTTCGACACCTCAGTTACATAAATTACGTTTGCAGTAATGACACCGGATTGAAACAGCGAAAATGCACGGGGTAAAGAACCCAATGTTTTTTCCTTACTACTAACGCTGCGAATGAGTAAGATACATGGAAGTATTACTGCAGTAGTGCACCATCCGTCGCTTGTAGTCACTTAAGCGGTTCACTTAATTACTATATGGAAGAATCATATTTCTCCGACTGTCTTTTATAGAATGCATCCTTGCATCTCTATTATGACTTTTATTAAATTTATTGCTTCATTAATTTTCTACTGGAATCAAGAAGTTGAATTCCGAGTAAAATCCGAACCGAGCTGGTGGCTCAGAATGTCGAAATCCATTGGGCTTGCTAGAATTTGTATAAAATGTCCATTATTTAGACAGCTGGCAAGTCGTACCCTACTGGTAGTTACGTTTGGAATAAGTCCGGATAGTTTGGAAATAATGTCCTAGTATTTGACGTGTATATACAAAGTAGGACCAGAGCACCAAGAATGTAGCTTGTGTGATTCACTTTTGAAAAGTAAAATTGACTGCTGTACTGATTCAAAAGACCAGGTATTTTCTCTAGTATCTAAATCGTGGGCTTTCTTTTTTCCATTGCATTTGCTTCGAGAATGTTCGTTCCTCTCCGGTTAGACTTCTTTCGTTGGAGTCAGAATTGTCATAATCAACCTTTCCGTTAGCATTCATCGTGAATTCTGAAAATCTT